ACATACTAGTAGTGATTCAGTTTCCCTGTGACTGTACCTGTTTTTTTTTTTTTTTTTAAGTTGGTGGAGTTAGGCCTAGAAAATGTACTTTACAGTGAATGAAAAGCTATACATTCACATTGACCTGAAAAAGATGTACAACTGAAGCAAGTTCTACTATCCCAAACCTGAAAATGTGGACTGTTTTTTTCTTTTGCATTCTCCTACTTCCTCAGAACCAGAAAAAGATTTTTCCCACCCTAACTCTCCCAGCAAGATGAAGACAGGCTCCTTTCTTCAAGGCTCACCACTTTATTTAGGAGCTACTGTAGACATAAGCAATCTTATTTAAGAAAGATCAGAGGAGGGACAAGTACAGTATGCCAGAGAAGCATGAAAAAAAGACATATGCCCATGGCTCCTTAATCTACCAGTTGTTGAGCAAATAATTGCTTTGCCTTGCATCAAACTTAATTGGCAATTAGAGCTTTCACGAGCTCACGTCTATGAGCTCTCAGAGGCAGCTGAGTTTGCCAAGAAAGTCAAAAATAAACCTTGTGAGAGATCCTGGAAGTTCTTAAGATTCCAGTTAGTAGGCCTTAAAGGAAGACAGGATCCTCGGTTTCTGCTGAGCTTAGCAGTGTTAAGGCTTCCTTTGAAGGGTGGCATCTAACTCAATGACCATAGCATTGACCTGGCTAAGGACTATCTTTCCTAAAGCCCACAAGCGGCCTAAGTCAAGCTTCCTCCTCATAGAAAGCCAAGCACCTAGAACCAAAGGATCTCTCACAGCAATGGAGTTACAGGCTTCATTTAGGTATGGAACCTTAAACTGAATCCTAACCATTACTCACCCACCCCACTCCCCTTCAGGATGAGACTAATCAGCTAGGTTAGCCAATTAATTCCAGGGTCCCTGTTGCTAACAGAGCAGCCTTCAGGTTTCTGTGATGCTGAAATTAAGTGATAAACATTCTAAATCAGACTTCGCCAAGATACTACACTGAGAAGCATTAAAACACTTAAATGCTAAATCCTGAGACAGTCTCCATCACCAAACTGACATCATTATCTTGTCTGTCTGGAAAGAGAGATGGCTACTTTTTAAGCTCTTAGGCCCACTGCTGCACTAACAATATACCCAGAGGCCAAGACAATCTTCCAGAAGTATAGTAGGTCCATTCCCAAAATGCGTAAAATACATGTTCAGCAAGGCCAATATGGAATCAGAAAAGGGCACCTGACCATTGGGAGTGTCATCTGACTGGCTCATGGTGCCAACCCATGCTTCAGCCAGGATTCTGCCAGATGACTGCTACCCTTTATGTCAGGGATAGCTTTGTTAGCACAATTCCTAATCAAATAAGTGACTACGAAAAGAAAAAAGGAAAAAATAGAAAAGTTTCTTTCTGAATAAGAGCTGTGGTGTGAAGATAGTGAATAGAGATAATATATTCCTGAAACACAGAATGTGTGGCAAATGCACCTTGATGTTTGTAATCTCAAAAGAATAAACACCTCACACTAATGCATGCAGAAATTGTTTACTACTGTTCAAAGCTGTGCTTTATTTATTCCATCTCACAAAACAGAGATGTAAGCAACTTCATCAGATCCATTCATTTACTATTTATACAAAAGTTGATTCAAAAGACAACCCCGTAAGTATGTAGTGCTTCAACTGTACAGATGAAGAATATGCTTAATTTGCCTGTTTTCTTCAAAAGCCAGGTGTATACTCAGCATCTGGATGGCTGGGATAAAAGGAAGATAGCCCTTTGTTTTGAAGAGGCTATAGTATATTACTAAGGTCATGCCAACACAAACATTTCCTGAATTTGGCATACTCATGCTAGGGTAGCAGTGTTAGCCATAAAGACGAAGACTGAAGCAGTGATATTACAGCTTATCCTTTCACTGCTGGAGCCCAATAAAATATGATAGAATAGTTTGGTTGGAAGGGACCTTTAAAGGTCATCTAGTCCAACCCCCCCTGCAATGAGCAGGGACATCTTCAGCTAGATCAAGTTGCTCAGAATGCTGTCCAACCTGACCTTGAATGCTTCCAGGGATGGGGCATCTACCACCTCTCTGGGCAACCTGTTCCAGTGTTTCACCACCCTCATGGTAAAAGAACTTTCTTCTTTGTATCTATCTAGTCTGAATCTACCCTCTTTTAGTTTAAAACCATTACCCCTTGTCCTATCGCAACAGGCCCTACTAAAAAGTCTGTCCCTATCTTTCTTGTAAGCCCCCTTTAAGTACTGAAAGGACGCAATAAGGTCTCCCCAGAGCCTTCTCTTCTCCAGGCTGAACAAATATATCCCTTTACATTTCAGTCCCAATTCTGTACTAGAAGCAATGGCCTCACATATGCCACAGAGTTCCCATGCAAACCAGTTGCCCACCAGCACCAGTTAGTTGCTGCAAACCAACAACTCGGACACATGGCGAATCTCTTATTAAAGCAGATTTCTTCTAGTCTCTGCAGTGGAAGATGTTCAGCAAACACTCCAGAAGAACACAACTTCCTGCATTTAAGAGTTCTGCAGCTGCTGCTCACTCCTGATTTACAGCCTGACCTATATCCAGCACTCAGGCTTCTCTAAGTGTGTGACTGATCTATGCATATACAGTTTTCAGTGAAAAGTCACTAGCAGCTCATATACTACTGCTTCCTCATTTTCACTCATATATTACCGGCACATACAAGATCCTTTCCACACAGACAATCCATTGCTTTGTCTTAAGTGTATAACTTGCTCTCCACCATGCTTCTGTAATAAAATGGCCTTGAAATTGTGACCTGTTACAAAAACCAATTATAAGAATTAAAATGAAAATTCTCGCTTTGCACTGCAAAATTCTCTCCAAAGACTGTACTGGAATGCTCGCGTGCAGTCTCACAATTTAACCAGATGCATGAGGATATGCTGCTTTAGCTAAGCCATCTTTTACAGCATTGCTTTGCTAACAGGCATAAGCTGCCCAAGTGCTATGAATGACTCTTCCCAGCACAGATTTCACAGTTATACAGCAAGCTTTACATGGAGTCAACACACTAGTTCTGAACAGAGAGAACCTCTAACATGTCAGCATAAGCTTCAGCTGCTGATAATTCAGATATCAAAATTAATTACCTGAATCTCATTTTAAACAAAAATTGGCTAAATTCATTTTTCACTGGGTACCTGCCACTGTATGTAAAAGTAGCTTTCTCCATACCTCTGTCATCTGCCAGTACTGATGGGGCCATAGCCAACTCAAGCTACAAAACACATTCAGACACGTTCAGCTAGTTTGATTAGGAAAATATGAAAGCATTATACAATTTTTAGATGACACATCATGCTCATATAAGTACTAAGATTATTTTTTTTCCCCCAGTCATCTGGGTCCAGTTAGGTTTATTTGATTAATTCTTATAGTCTCAGAATGAATCTTACAAATATTTATTTTTGATATTGTAACAAGATACAGAAGTTTTTCTCTAAGACCTGAAAAAAGAAAATAAAGTCTCTTTTTTAAGAGGAGCAGAAAGATCCCAGGAAAATACTAGCACAGATTTTTGGTAGCTCCTACACAACCAGGTGATAAGTGCAGACAAAATTTCTCAAAAACAAGTCAAGCTAATTTCTATCAACATAATTTCTATTTACAAACCATTCACTTTGATTTTAAGAAGGCTTTTGTCTTTCCTCTTGGTTTGCAAATAATGAAAAAGAAATGGAGATTAAATTGGGTAGGTGTGCACTAAGCAAGCACCACTCAGACTGTCAATGATTCGACTGGCAAACTGGAGATACGCATCAAGTGGGAGACCGAAAGGAGCTTGACCTATATCTAGAATATTTAAAGCACACACTTCCATCAAGGCATTAATGAAAATGTTAGAAAACATGGGTGATATCAAGCTGGGAAGGCCTTGAAGCATACTGGGAAACAGAATGGGAATTCAAGTCAAGAAAGCCTGGAAGAAGCAGATACAATTCAAAAGACAAGCAATCATGTTTAAAACTTCTGGATTTATTTAACTATGCAAATAGAGAAGGTAAACAATTACCCTTGCTTTGTGGTACTGTAGGAAGTGTCCGAAGGATATAACAGATCACAGACTGAGTGTGAGTCAACAACATACTCAATATAAATAGGAATACTGTGTTAAGAATTGTTTTTCACTGTCCCATTGAAACCTCAGGTGTGGCCTGCATCCTTCCAGACTTCCACAAAAGATACAGGCAATCTGTATTTGAGGAGCAGCAACAAGTCAAATCTAGGAAACAGAATGTTCAAGGAAAGGGTGAAGAACTGAATTTGTCTCAATGGGATAAAACTAAAGGGGCCAGTATCAGTCCTCAATTATATTTAAGGTACCCAAAGGCAGATAAAAGTTTACCCCTTCTCTTTACACATATTGCCCAAGAGTAGTTTAGCTTGTGAAAATGGCCTCCAGCAGCAAGCCTTCAAGGTGCCTAGAAAGATTGTTGGAAGTGCTATGAATGATGAGGGTGTAACAAATCCTGTATTTAGGCAGAGCACTGAACTAGATCACCTCTGATGGTCATGATCTTCCCAGCTATACTGGCATTTACCCAGTATTACCAAAATCTGACCCTAAAATTAACTCCCTCTACAGCACAGAAGCAGTAATTTCCAGAAAACAAAATACAAGAACATTCGTACCTTCTAAATGCTAAAACTCTTCATTTTCCCATTTGGAGACTTCAAACATTCAAACAGCTGACAGCTTCACCATAATAATATGAGAACTGGTACAGAAACTGAATATGGATTATTTCCAAGTGATACACTGGAGTAAAGCAGTACTGTTCTGCTGTACTGAGCTTAAGGAGTTGGAGAGTCAAACTAACATTAGAATCTGCAGTTAGTAATCTGCAAATTGACAACTCTTTTATATAAAAGTTTGGGGCCATAAAGCAAAGCTTACAGTAAAATATTTAGCTAAGACACCAGAGCATTATTAGCAAAGTAACACAGCTGATAAACAAAAGCAGACCCACCTTCCGCAATTCAATTGTAACTTCATTTCTGTGTCTTCTCATAGTCTGTAAAAAAAAAAAAAGAAAGATTTGTATGTAAGGAAAGAAGTGTTTTGTTTTGGAGTCAGTTGTTTCTAGGTCAAAAGTGCAGCTATTCATCAAAAAGGTAAGGAAAACAGCGTGAGTAATTTACAGCTCAATCTCTCCTAGCAAGATGCACGACTTGGTTTTTGGGATATTTTGTTTTGGGTTTTTTTGCTTGTTTTGGGTTTTTTTTTTAAAGATTATACACCTTACAGAAAGTTTTGTCATAAACCACAATAAGTATCCCAAAGGCAGAAAACATTGACTTCCCCATGGAGCTTCACTCAAATGACTCTCCAGGCGTTTATATGTGCACACCAAAAAAGAAGTGGTAAATACAGGTCAGTCTCACATTCACCTATGATCAGTCACAATCTAAACATGTAACCTACGGCAGTTACCTGGCCAAAATCAACTATGAGGGACAGAAGGTGACTGAACTCAATGCAAACAAGACAGACTAGGCTTGTGGCTAAAGGAAACAAAGTAGTACAGTGGCACTGAGTCTACTTCGGATCTAAAGCCTAAACACTGTAAAGGAAAACCAGCCCATAAATACCTCAGCTCCTTTAAGATACTGGGCACTCAGGACGCATTCCCTACAATGCTGCTATACCTCTTAGCTAAAAGAGATCAAAAGATTGAGAAAGAACGATTTTAGCCTAGTGAAGGCAATCTCCCTAGGTTCATTTTACAATCAGTGGAAAAGACATGTACCATCAGAATGTAATTCAGAGAAAATCAGGACTGGATGACCGCTGGCAGCCTAGAAAGATCACCCACGCTAACTAAAATTAGCCTTTTAAAATACTTTCTATGTCCTATCCTTGCTACTGACCTTCACTGCTACTATCACGTTCCTTTTGAGTTAAGGCAAATAACTTCCCTAAGCTCAAAAGTATCAGTGAAAATTAGCAGTACAGAGAAAACACCAGCACTCCCCATCATCCATCAGAGGAAATACCAAACATGCTAAAGCTCAAACACAGGTAAATGAAATAAGCAGACTTCACACCATGAATCTATACAGGACGTAGTTTCAGTGCTTAGAACATTACCTTAGCTTCACTGTTCTCAATCAGTTTGCATAGCAGTGTTCATTTAATTATTTGAGGTTGACTTGAGAGTAAGGAAGGCTTGTCTTCAGTCTGCTGCTTGATTAACCGACTCACTAGAGTAAACACAGACACAATTCTCCTTTGACATCTACAGGCATCAACTACACTACTTGAAACAAAGCAAGTCCTCATTACAGTAAGAGGACACTAGCACTAGAGCATCTACCAGAGCTACACTTTCACACACCCCCCATCAGTTTGCTAAACCATTTTATTCTTGTGACTATCTGAACGTGCTGCAAAAGCTCAGTATGATAGGACTGGATTGCTAAGGAATGGGAGAACATTGGGTAGGTAGGGAATGGACAAATGAAGAACCTGAAAAGTCGCTGCATGTAACCAGCTAGACCAGTCATTCAAGTTTCTTGTTGTATTAGAGTTTTAGAATTTTATATTTGAATTATCTTAAAAACCGCGTCAAATGCAATGGCACTAAATAGCCTAAAAATGTTTTTCAATCTTCCCCACGATAACTCTGCATGCCAATGGAAAAAACGGAGTTAGACAAGGCTGTCTTACCATTTCTGCTATAGGACCTCCTTTTCTTCATCATTCTGAATGTGCTATAAAGGACCAAAGTCCTTTAAAGACCTTCCCACTAGTAACACCACCCCACCTCCCACTAAAATCTAATCTTTTATTCCTACTTAACTTAAAATTTAAGGGGTACCCCATCACATGATAAATCAGTTAACATGAGTGTCCATTAACATTTTCTCCCCAAAATGCAGTATTGTATGTACCAGATTTGAAATCTCAAAGATTTAATTGATACAAGGCACAATTTACTTTTAGATTTTCTCCCTAATTACAATTTACTCGTACATTTTTTCATTTATCTATGTGATAATGCTCTAGAATATTTTCTATTGAGCAGAAAAATCAGACCAAATCTGAAGTTCTTTAGGGGACAGCAATAACATTTGCCATCCACCATTCTTCTGGAAGCAAGGCAGGTTTAGGAAAGACTATATGCTGTGTTCAACAGTTCAGCAGCTTAATATTTTTGGTTTAGAAAAAAACAAATACAGTGCAGTCCCAGGCAAGGCATTACTATTTATTTCATCAATCAACTCTAAAACCTCCTCTAACAATGCTTTGACTGAAGACAGTTACTCAGAGTCATCCACCCATAAAGGCTCTACTGGGAAGACTCTAAGCTTCTTTCTAAAGGCAAATAACTCACTCAGCTTTTCAATTAGGGTATTATCTTTGTTTCATACTTCCATCCATTATTTCAGCCCCACTGATCCTACCCTATTACAATTCTGTCTCAATATTTTTACTAGTTTTTTGCTTTTATCAATCTGATCTGCAAAATATTCGACTATTCCATCATGGTTTTACATTTAATGTGCAAGAATCTTCCATCTTTTCCTCATTTAGAGAGCTATCACTCTTTAGAAAGACTCTTCAAAAAAGTTTATCAACTACGCCGACATTTTTGCTGACTAGTAGCATACATTTTCTGAGCTTTAATACTCTTCTTTAGGCAATCTGCATGCTACCTTAGTTTTACCCTTTTAGCTGTTCTTTTACATTTCCTTTTAAGCTTATTGTATGTAGTTTCTCTTTCAAAGCAGCTCTGGTACACTTTCTTTTTTTCTGTCCTCCTTTAAAAGGCAGAATTGGCAGTACTGACCATTAGGTCCAGAGCTGCTTCTCCGTTCACAGAGCAAGTAGGTTGATAACTGGGGATATCACTTAGCCTTAACTTCACAGAACTGATGAGTGTTATCTGGCCTCCACTGAACTAAGGGCTCCCAGTCTTGCAGAGCCTCCTGCTGGCACAGCATCTTTAAAAATTCAGCATGTTGGGGTCACCAGGATCATTCAAGAATCAGTAGCACAGTGTTGGGGCTGGAGTCTTCCTACAAGTATATGTGGGACTGAAGTTCCCAAAGAGCCTATGGTGCGTGCATTCTGGCGGTTAAACTTGGTTGCCATGGCCGGATCATGACTAGTGCTCTCAGCTAGATGTATGCTGACATCATTTCTAACCTGATGATACCAGCGTTCCACTTCATGTCCCCGACCTATGACCATTGTACACCAATATATCTCAGACCATGAATTCCACTTAATACATGTTAATTGTTGCAATTATAGGCTATACATGAAAAGCACATGTACGCACAAATTTTATTCCCCCCAAAACCGGACTTAAGTGATCCAGTCCATTTTTTGTCCTGACTTGGCATTTCCTAAAAAGTACGTATTTAAAACTTGTGTTTCAGATGAAGCATTTTAGAAATACAGCAGGTTATCAACACCTTCCTACAGCCTCAGAAGAAATAAATATACTATAATCCAACAGCATACAAAAGAAGCAGTCTTAAGCACTAAAGTAAGCCTCCCTTTAAGGAAGCATTACCACTGTAAGCAGAATACTACACTTTTACACTACCTGCAAGCCCCAGCACATAGGGAACTGACAGGCATTTACAAGGGATTTATACAGTAGTAGAAAGGTTAAACATTTTCCCTAGCTAGCGCGGGTCAGCGAAAACAGAGAATAGAGACCAAATTTTTCTGCAACTTAACCCCATGGATTCATTACCAGCCTTCAGGCTGGGAGGACAACCACCTGCTAAAGTCTGTATATCCAATACTAGTTGAAGCCTAGCAAGACGTTACCAATGGATCTCATACAGTGTTAGACATCCACAGCATCTGACTACGGTCACTTCTCAGCTTAATGTACTCAAAGAAGTAACTTCATGTCACACTGAAACAGCACATCTCAAAACTACCTCAGAGACAAATCTGAACTGTTTCACTGAATAAAATCAGACTCCAAATCTCAGAAAGGGAAAACTCGGCATAGGCACAATCCTACAAATCACAAAAATGATGACAGTTTATTCCTGCAGAATCTGAACTGTGAGGCCGCTCCTAAACACAAAGGTATTAATACACCATACGCAAGGTGCAGGAAGTAAAGATGAGTACTATCAGTCAGCATGTACTATTAAGAAACAAGAACATACACCACTTATGAAGCTGTGCTACAACATTACATCTCAATTGTACATGACTCAAGTCAGACTTAAGTTCATAAGACTTTTGTAACAAGAGATTTCTTCTCCCCAGTTCACCATCTGAAGAACAACTACTTACCAGTGTTTTGACAGGCTGACATAACCACAGTAATGCACCAAGTACCGTAAGTCTTGTACAAGTCAAAAGTAGATGTTGAGTAGTATTTCTAATTTCAAGTTGCTCAGCATTTTGTTATTTTATAAAATAAACCAGAAAAAACAAGTGATCTACTAGATGCTGTTAGATAGATCAGTGTTCTCACTTCTACCCTGAATTTCTGAATACTCTTCCAAAGCCAAATACAAAGCATTACGTGCCAAGAATCTCTCCCTAACACCTTCCACTTGAAAGAAAAATAATCCCTAGCGCCCTCAAAGTATCAAAACTGAAATTAATTTCATATGCCAATAAAGAAAATCACTGCACACATTAGGGCTGTTGTGTTAAGGGCTGCAAGGGAACCTTGTTTCACAGTGATACAAAACACAAAAATGCTAAGCTGTCAAAAGACAAGTGATTTAAGAGACACTAGACCTTGAAAACAAAGCAAGCCACAAGTCAAAGCCCAAAATAAGGCTTCAAAGAATGCCACAGTCCCTGTAAAACTGCCTTTGACACACTCAATGGGCAGAAGCGACACAGAATACAGCCATCCTCATCACATCAGCATTTCAGCTTTGGTATCTCTCTTCCAGTAAGAAGCTGACAAGAAACTCAAATATCAATTTCAGAGACACCTGTGGAGAGGGGAAAAGTCTTCCTGATTTTTCAGTTGATATTTGGTTTATGACAGAACACAAAACTGTATGTAAAACTCTTGATATCAAAAAGCAATGGCTAAACATAACCCTGTGAAATTCTGAATTATCAGCATAACAGTAACCCTTACCACCAGCACATTCAAAGAATTATTTTTAAATGACTAAACATTTGGGACCCTCTGGCTCAACCACGTGTAATTCATAAGTAACATTTGTAAGACTCTGTACAGAGGTGCACAAGATGCTCACTACATTTTAAAGAGCAAGTATCACTGCTGTAACGCTACCACTTGATGTCGTAAGACGGCCCACACATGCCTTCCTGGCAAACAAAAATAAAGATTACTTTGAGGTTTTGAATAGCATTGAGATTCGAAGGGGAGAATTAAGTCTAGCAAGCTTCTCTGGCTTCTTGAGCCTTTGTTTAACATAAAAAAACATTTAACTGCATAATACATTAAACTACCTGAAAAGTCAACTCATATAGCTTCTGTAAACTTAGGGGAAAAAAAAAATCAAGGAATCCCAAAACCAATCAGCTGTACCTGTCTAACATACATCAGAAAAAGATAACATTTTCCAAAACCCTCTGTAGCAAATACATAATGTAGTGTTTTTCCAAGGGGGGGTGTGTGTGGTGGGGGGGGGGGGGGGGGGGGCACAGGATGGGACAACACGGGGACAGGGGGACAACAGCAAAACCCTACCAAATTTATACAAGACTACAAGAAGAAAATTCAGGCTAATTCAAAAGGACAAAATCACACCTGAGACAAAGCAGGCAGAATAGTCCTTCCATTTATGAAAGAATGATTTAAAAACATTGGTACTACTTTATGCAAGTTAGATCTCATTCACAATGAAATACTGAAACTAGTCTTAGTGTTTCTGTTAATCTGAAATTTCTGCTTCATATCTAAAAAATCAATCTTAATTGATTATAAGCACTTTAAAGTCCCTTAAGTATATCACTTTCAGAGACAAGAAATTCTGGATACTCAATAAGATTACTTCATCCCCAGCTACAGAACAAATCAGAAAACCAAAACTATTTAAATGTGTAAATGACACAACTAGCAAGAAGCTCAAGCCATTACATTCCCTTTGTTATGCTGGGATAAAGATTTCATACATTAAATTAAAAATGAAGTTTCATGCACAAGATGTTTAATAATGTACATTCTCTGTACAGAAAAAAATAATCAAATGCTGCAACAGTAAGTGGTATGAATTTTAAACATTTTAACCATTTTTAGCTATATCAATTGTGTCAGAAGGAAGATTAAAGCCTAACCATCACTTAATGACTGAAAAATCTACCTACCATTGTAACAATGAGATCTGGAGCTCAGTGTGGTGCTCACCCAGACCAGCCACCTCATTAAGTGGGATACCTGAGGAGTGTCATCTTTTCATCAACACATTTACACCACTTCCATTGCAACAGGAGCAAGTCCAGAAAACATTATAGAGATGGAGAGGCAGGAAAGAGATGTTTTTATGACAGACAGCATATCAATATTGCCAGCGCGGCTGGCCTGCCAGCTGCCTGCCTACCCTGCTCTGCCGCAGGCCGACCAGCACGCATCAGCCTCCAGCTAGCCCACTGAAGTGGGAAAGCCAGCCTCACCTTCATAAGAAGAACACCATGCACCAATGTCAATTTTGGCTATTCTGTGGATGCAAAAGATACATTTTCAGGAACTTTGTAAGATGTGCCTATAGGTGCTTTTGAAAGTTCAGCTACTAGGTGGAAAAGAGGGAACAAATTCACTGACTGATTCTAATTTCTCTGCATCTGCAAACTTCATTAAAAGATAACTGATCTTTTAAATTCTTTATTTCTGTTCTTGCCTCTCAACATTACAGGAACCGGTCTCAGAAAACCAGAAAATACATGCTTACAGGAAAGAGCTACCCTGAATACATAGCTGGGATAGTAAAGTAGCTTGATTAAACATACAGGGTACCCAAAGAGCTTAGCATTTGCAAGTCAATTCCAGACTACTTCCACCTGCCTAACTGAAAGAAAAAAACTGGCCCAGTTCCAACAGCTGGATTAGATTTAACTAATACCTCCCCTCTTGCATATGAGCATACTCTAGAGTATAGTTTAAATACTTTTACAACATAGGTGTGGGTGCAGTACAGTGAAAGGAGAAGGTGTTTGCATTGATGAAGTAAACACTGTTCTTCCCCAGAAATTGCTTTACTAGCCTTTTCTCCTTATTTCTTCTCTGACACCTTTTAACAAGCATGAAATACTGCAATGCACATGAAAATGCAGAAGCCTCAGGAGCTGGGCTGGTTTTGGGCAGAAAAAAAAACATTCAAGTGCTTGTTCATATACAACAGCTGATCAAGGTTGTCAGCTGCCTATCTTTGGTTAACATTAGAAGTTAAATATTCCGTATTTGCATAGGAATATAATTTGTTAGTATATGTAAAGTTGAGCCTTAGACTGATGATATTGTTCTACTTGTTCTGGTGCAGCTGGCTTCATCCAGAAACAAAGAGACAAAGGGACACTGGAAGGCGATACTGCTGTTCTACCTGTTCACACTTTCAAAGTGCATATAGCTTACTCCAAGAATTGCAAGCAAATCACAATACATGAAGGCAAAATTCTGGGGACTACTAAATCAAAATTCTGGGACAGCATCACGATGGTCTGAATGCAACTACTTAATCACAACTGAAAGAACTAAAACCGATGACACTGTGCACACCGATCCCCCTCTATTTCTTTTGGACATGCAAAAAGATTTGACATCCATGCCACACTATACCAAATGTTTAGTCTAAATTAACCCTTCCTGCTAGGTTTATTCCTTCAGTTACAAGCATCACAGATTATTACCCAGCCTTTTTTTCCCCCCAGTGTATGTTCTAGGCAGACTCTTCCCCACATCCAATTTTGAGATTTACCTAATTACCAAGTACTCCCATAAAGCTCCAAATTGTCCTAAGAAAATTCTTTTTTTTTTTCCAGTCATATATGACTGAAGTAGTCTACAGACTACAAAGTTATAACTTCACCTCTGGCTTTGTTATCATAGCTCCATATTAAATTATGCTGACCCAGTTAGAAATGCAGGCAGGGGGCATAGCTTCCACAGTACAAGCAACAGATGTACCAAAGCAGCCAAATATACTTACAATGCGCCTGTACCCTGACCTGAGACTCCAAGAGAGTTTTATTTCATTTGATTGACCCAAAAGGTATTCACTCCTCTTTTAGGG